TTTAATGTTTTCATCAATTTTGGCATTTATCCATATTTGGAGAAAAATTAAAACTGGACTTGAATTGAATCTTTGTCTCCTAGAAGTGGTTATTTGTGACCCCACTCTGTTATGAAATATATTTATTTTGAGGGGTTTAAGTGATGTAAAAGATTTTTTAAACTAATATTTTTAAATGTAGTTGTCTTTTTAAAAAACCCTTCTTGTTTGATAGAGAACAAGTTTGTTTTTTTAAACTGGTACATATCAGGTGGTTATTTGCCAGTTAATCTGAGAGCTAATATGAAACTGGTATTTGGATTTAATTCAGTTCCATTAGAACAGAGTTAAAATTTTGTGATACAGGGCCCATTATCCTGGCAGTTGTGAGGGATTTTTGTGCTGGGACGCAGGGCGGACAGAGAGTCACTGTACAGGCTCCATTTATAACTGAGCACTTTCACACTGCAATTTAGGAGGTGTGCAGCTCAGGAAATTGCCGGCTTTGGCCGGCGCACACTTTAACTGCAAGGAAAATTTTATTCGTCACTCAAGTAATTGGCAGTTTTAATACCTTGTTCATAATTACCTTATAAACAAACGAATGCACAAACCAAAGATTGTGTGGCCTGTTATCTACCTCGCAGCCTTCTTTGAGCAACGTGATAGACACCTGCGGGTCTCCCTCTCCCTCCCACCAGTTACTAGCTTGCTCCATTTATTGCGAACCTGTGGCTATTTCTTCTTCTTGTTAAATAGAAGCGTAGCTCTGCTAGCTAGCCCCACACAACCTGGGGACCAAAACCAGATGCAGAGTGTGATGGGAGGCAGTGCCTACGGACCAGACAGGGAGGGAAGGAGATGGGAGGGGGTGCTGCAGGGTCACTCTGCTGTTCGGCCGAGGGGACATCCTGGTAATGCAAACATTTGGGCTAACTGCATTGAAGAGAACATTTTTGTCCCCTGAAATGTGGTTTTTTTAAAAACCCACACACCCTGACCCTACGGCCCTGTAGCTTGTCTGTTGGACTGAATCTATCTCCGGGACGTGGAAACTGACTAATTGTCTCAGTTGCCTTACCCTGTACCTCACAGCTAGATCAAGGGGTTTACGTGATGATGAATCCAGATGTGGGAAATGGTCAGAATCAGAGGTCGTGGCTGACTTAACTCTAAACAAAGTCTGTTAAGACTTTATGGGAATCTCAGGAGCTTGATAATTGTAACTTATACATGGGACTGCTAATGCCTCCGCCTTTTGCTGAACCTTACTATTTTCACAGAGTTCAGCTGTTAGGGTATAAATCACCCACGCCTGTTGCCTTATGTAGGATTACTTTAAAAATGGCATTAGATTTTCAGATGACTTGGGTTTAAAAAGACAGCTCCTTGATAGTCCTTAGAGGTAACACATGGAGGTTTTTCAACAGTGTTTTGGGAGTTGTGTTAGTTCTTTGTTATTGGAACTGATTTAACATGTATGGCCTGTTTTCTCCCCTTACTGGGCAAAGCAGCACCTGGCATTTGCAGGTATTTGGGAAGCTGGCCTTCTACTCTGTTCGTTGCCAAACACATGCAGACCCCTGGGTTCCTCTTAATCCACCTGGGGTGAGACCCCGTTTTTAGGGCCTCCTTCGTGTTGCACTGGAGAAGGAAGTAGCAGCCCACTCCAGTGTTCTTGCCTGGAGAATCGCATGGACAGAGGAGGCTGGCAGGCTACAGTCCGTGGGGTCACAAAGAGTTGGACACGGCTGAGTGAGCGGGCACTCGGCGTTGGCATGACTATGGCTCAATGAGCTGGTGTGCGTCCCCAGAGGAGTTTGGAATCAGTAGTTCAGCATGTTTGCAAGCATGAGAAGTTGCAGGCCCTTCTGGAGGTGCATCTTCATGTAAGCACTTTCATACCAAAATATGTACTCAGTGAAACAGCCTTTAGGGAGTGCTTTCGGGAACAATGGGGAATTACTCTGTGAGATGGGAGAGCTTAGACTTCTTAGGTTAAAAGCTATAGTTTCCTAATTTAAACACCAGAGAGATGTTATGATTAGATAGCATAATATATGAAAAATGTCTAGCATAGATCTTGGCTTTTAATATGTTCTCAGTGTTACTAGATTCCTTATATATTCTAAAATGAGATTCCCATCCTGCCTGCCAACACAGAAGATGTAAGAGATGCAGGTTCGATCCCTGGGTTGGGAAGATCCCCTGGAGGGGAGGGCATGGCACCCCACTGCAGTACTCTTGCCTGGACAATCCCATGGACAGAGGAGCCTAGTGGGCTGCAGTCCATTGGGTCTCACAGAGTCGGACAGGACTGAAGCGACTTAGCACGCACACATGCACATTCTAAAACTGAGGGGTAGAGACAGTTTCAGAGGTGCTCACAGTGTGGCAGAAGAGACAACAGCATAAAAAGTGGTGTGCCAGATGCAGCGGAGGATTTTCTGGAAATCCACGAGAGCTGCTCCTGTGGTGAGAGGCACATGAATCATAGCAATGCAAAAGAACTTAACCACTTACAGACCCAGAAATGTTTTAATGCATCTTTTGTTACCTGAACCTTATAGAATGGAGTGTTTCAGTATTAACAAATCTCTGGCCACAGGCATTAGTATTTGCAGAAATCCCTGAACTCAAAGCACTCTACGAATGTGGTTATTGGTAACAAAGATACACATACAATCTCATTTCTAAATTTTCCTCTTAAGTGAGTTTTACCTAAGACTGTGTCTAGAGATATGCAGATGACACCACCCTTATGGCAGATACAAAGAGGAACTAAAGAGCTTCTTGATGAAAGTGAAAGAGGAGAGTGAAAAGGCTGGCTTAAAACTCAGCATTCAGGAAACTAAAGATCATGGCATCCAGTCCCATCACTTCATGGCAAATACATGGGAAAACAATGGAAACTGAGAAACTTTATTTTGGGGGGCTCCAAAATCACTGCAGATGGTGACTACAGCCTGAAATTAAAAGATGCTTGCTTCTCGGAAGAAAAGCTGTGACCAATCTAGACAGCTTATTAAAAACCAGAGACATTGCTTTGCCAACAAAGGTCCATCTAGTCAAATCTATGGTTTCACCAGTAGTCATGTATGGATGTGAGAGATGGACTATAAAGAAAGCTGAGAACCGAAGAATTGATGCTTTTGAACTGTGGTGTTGGAGAAGACTCTTGAGAGTCACTTGGACTGCATGGGGGATCCAACCAGTCCATCCTGAAGGAGATCAGTCCTGAGTATTCATTAGAAGGACTGATGCTGAAGCTGAAATTCCAATACTTTGATCACCTGATGCAAACAACTGACTCATTTGAAAAGACACTGATGCTGGGAAAGATTAAAGGCAGGAAGAGAAGGGGACCACAGAGGATGAGATGACTGGATGGCATCACCGACTCAATGGACATGAGTTTGAGTAAACTCCCGGAGTTGGTGATGGACAGGGAAGCCTGGCATGCTGCAGTCCATGGGGTCGCAAAGAGTTGGACACGACTGAGCGACTGAACTGAACTGAATGTCTAGAAATGGCAGCACGTGACTTACATAACATACAAGGTTCCACTTAGAGCCTTCAGATTGTTTAATTGTCCTTGGGCTGTGAAGAAAAGCCCTTTCTTTTTAGGTACACTCTGCCATCATCCAAGCCTCTCTCCCTTGACATTTTATTTTCTCTTGCCTGGTGCTGCTGCTAAGTCACTTCAGTCGTGTCTGAGTCTGTGCGACCCCATAGACAGCAGCCCACCAGGCTCCGCCGTCCCTGGGATTCTCCAGGCAAGAACACTGGAGCGGGTTGCCATTTCCTTCTCCAATGCGTGAAAGTGAAAAGTGAAAGTGACGTCGCTCAGTTGTGTCTGACTCTTCACGACCCCATGGACCGCAGCTTACTGGGCTCCTCCGTCCATGGGCTTTTCCGGGCAAGAGCACTGGAGTGGGGTGCCGTTGCCTTCTCCATTCTCTTGCCTGGTAGATGATCTAAGAAGCCCAAGCTGGCTGGTCTGATATGACAGTTAAGATGGTTTTTGCACACCAGTTTGGTTCCTGTTTTCTAGCAAGATTGTCATTCAGTGTTGAATCTCCCCTTTGAAAACTGTTGCATTGATGACCTTTTAATAGCTTTGACTTGGCCTCTGTCTTGTTTATGTTTGTTTTTTCATTTGTGGTCTAGTGTAGTGATCTTCAGTAGAACTTTCCACGATAGTGGGGATGTTCTGTATGTGTACTGATCCATTTGACAGACACCAGGCAAATGTGGCTATTCAGGACCTGACATGTGGCTACTGTGACTAAGGAACTGAACTTTAACATTTAATTTTAATTTAAATGTGAAGAGCTGTAGTAGCTGTGTGGCTCCCATATTGGACACCATGATCTGGTGTTTAAGACTTTTTTAAAGTCTCAAGCTTTTTTAAATTCTCCTTGTTCCCAGAGATTGTTTAGACTGGCATGCTCTTAACTAATACTTCTGTAATATTCAAAACCTTGGAGTATATCCACTGGTTTTGAAGAATACAGCAATGCTTTGAAACTTGCTGTTTCTTAAAGAAAAAGAGAGTTGTCCATGATGGCTTTTAAAAAGCCCAGTCTAATGAGTATTTTAAGCTCATTTGCACCTACAGTATGTATACTTTCCAAGAGAAGAAGCAGAGGTGGATGAGTAGGGAACTAACAGACCAGTGTCCAGAAGGCCAGCTTCCTGCTGGTCATTTCATAAAACGATAAGGAAGAAAGACCGTTAACAAAGTCACAGAAAGAAAAAAAATCAGTTTAAATGCATTCCATTTAGATAACCACAGCTGTTAAACACACCAGATTTATATAGGAATGTTTTTCGTATTTCTAAGTTTATGATCTGTTATTTAGCGAAACATTGAAGTGACTAAAGAGTTGCTGTGTTAAAAGTGCTCTCTAGAGCAATCAGTTTTCCATATTTGTGAAGAACAAGTTAGAAATAGTATTTTTCACCTTTCAGATTGTTGTACCATTCATCCTGTTATCTGTGCCATTCTTTAAATCCAGAGCTGGAAACAAAATTGTGGAAATATTACCTGAACATCTGAGACAGTTTCGATCCCTTGAAACTTTGGACCTGAGTGGCAATAATATTTCAGAACTTAAAACTGCACTTCCACCCCTACAACTCAAGCATCTGTAAGTCAAGTTGTTTTTAACAAAATTTTCACCTGTGATGAAAATATTGTGCTATATTAAAAAAGAAACAACTTTTATGATAGAGACCAGAATGCTAGCTTTTTTTTAAACCTCTGTCTTCATTTAATTCTTACACTTTTGGATTGCAAAACAATGAGATCTCCTTTGACTACTATAGAGGAACCAAATGCTTCTTTAAAAAATGAATCGAAAGTAAGCCACTGGTGTGTTTTATTAATAAATGAATTTCACAAAAATTAGATAAGCGTCTCTAACAGATGTTTGTAATCTTCAAATGTTTTAGTCACTCTTTCCCTAGAAATATGTGAATCATAGTTGACGTTGGCCTTCAGGGACCTAAAGAGTTAATTATATTAATGTCCATTGTAACAAATAATGGCTCAGCCCTCTGAACAAGTGTTTCTGTACAGAGAACGCATGCACTTTTTAACTTCCCAAAGAGAAACTCAGCTTCAGACTTTCTATAGGTATATCAACAGCAACCGAGTCACATCCATGGAACCTGGGTATTTTGACAATTTGGCCCACACACTCCTGGTATTGAAGCTGAACAGGAACCGTATCTCAGCTCTTCCACCCAAGATGTTTAAACTGCCCCAACTGCAACACCTGTAAGTAAAATGTTCTCTTAGATATGGTGTCCTCTAAACCCTTGGCATCGTCCCCCTAAAATCCACCACATGGCCGAAAGAGTTTAGCAGCAAGGAGGTAGCTACCTTTCCTCTGAGAGCTGGAGGTGTAGAATCTGAATCAGAAAGAGCCTTAGAAGTCACCCAGTGTAGTCTTCTGCCTGAGAAGCAGATTGGGTGTTCCTAAGAGTGGAGAGTGTGGTCATCAACAACCTCCATACAAAGACATCATGATGGCATGGAAGATGTGACTCTCCATGGAGCTGCAGATGGCGAGAATACTGCCGGCGACTGACTGCAGGGTCCCTGGTAGCTTAAGGAGCTACAAAGAACTGTCTCATTAATAACGGTGGCGCCCTCTCTGAACAGGCTCCTACCATATAGTGGTTTTCAGCCTTGGCTGCATATTACAGACGCTTGTGGAGCTTTTAAATATCCCAGTGCCCAGGCCACACCCTACACCAATTACATTAGAACCTCTGGGAGTAGGATCCCAGCTTCAATAATTTTTTAAAACTCCCCAGGTAATTCCAGGGTGCCAACAAGATTAAGAATGACTGCCTCCAAGAGAAAGCATTAAACACAGGGCAAATCGTGACAGAGGGGAATCAACTTTTGTAAGCAGTTGAACAGGATGAACTTGGCGGTCCTGCTCCTCAATAGACCTCATGTTTTAACATGATATTCAATACTCCCATTCTGGATAACTTTTAAAAACCGATATTAACATGTTTAGTTCTACACTGAATGGACAACAGTTTAGGAACTCAAGTGCAGTCTGGTGTCCGTGTTTTATCGCTCTGAAAATGCATCCCATGTGTCAGAAGGAAATTTGTTCACTGCTAATAAATCAAAATTCTTCTCAATAAAAATGTTTAGAAATTTAAAATAGCCTCTGTAATTTAATGCAGGCTAGTTTAACTGTATTGTCGTAATGTCACATTTTATTACTGCCTCCAGAATTTGTCATATAAGCTAACTGTTTAACATCCAATGCAGTGAACTCAACCGAAACAAGATTAAAAACGTAGATGGACTCACTTTCCAAGGGCTTGGTGCTCTGAAGTCTCTGAAAATGCAAAGAAATGGAGTGACAAGACTTATGGATGGAGCTTTCTGGGGGCTGAGCAGCATGGAAATCTTGTAAGTGTGGGTGGTCAGTTCCTGCCCAGGCAGCATGATCCTGAAATGCTCTGTAAGTCTTCAGCAGCTTTTCTTTGAAATCCTGTGTTACAGGCTCATCACTAATAATCTTATCATTTAATATTTAGTTTTGTTTCAGGTGTTGTGACTGGGAATGTAGAAGCGTAGTATTTTCTGGTGATATCTCTGTATAACAAAAGCTACATAGCTCAATAGGCATATGTAATAGGTCGTAACCGTGTCCCCTTTGAAGAGTCTCAATAATAAACTTAGGATCCTGCTTTTGACTCTTGTTGTCAATGTAGGCAGCTGGACCATAACAACCTAACAGAGATTACCAAAGGCTGGCTTTACGGCTTGCTCATGCTGCAGGAACTTCATCTCAGTCAGAATGCCATCAACAGGATCAGCCCTGACGCCTGGGAGTTCTGCCAGAAACTCAGTGAGCTGTGAGTAGCCTGCTATTCTCCTCAGGTTTGAGAGCAGGAATCATGCCAAAGCATGAGCTTCTTACCAGTGATCTGTGAAATTTTCATAACAGAGTTTCCAAGGTGACAGCTTTTTTCTTTTTTTTTCCACATGTAACCTAGGCATAGTTTTTTTGCTTCAACTTCAGCAACTGCTGTTTCAGTTCTGTGACATAAGGGCTAAAGCAATGGTGGTGATTTTCAAATAAAAAGATTGTAATTACTAGGACTAGGAATAATGTTTACCTTAGTATTATTAAGAAAGAGGAGTTTTAAAATAAGGATTATTGTGGTAATATATATTACCTGTTTTTGTCTTTTTTTTTTCCTCCTACAAATCACTGCTTTGAATTGGAAAATAAAAGCTATTGTTGGTTTTTTTTGTTGTTGTTCGTTTTCTCTTTACAGGGACCTAACGTACAATCACTTATCGAGGTTGGATGATTCAAGCTTCCTGGGCCTAAGCTTGCTAAATACATTGCACATTGGGAATAACAGAGTCAGCTACATTGCTGATTGTGCCTTCCGGGGGCTTTCCAGCTTGAAGACTTTGTAAGTTACACATTTTGCAAGTTACACATTTTGCTCTCTGTGCATGAAGCTAATTGGTTCCTAAGCATACCTACTTTTCTCCAAGCAGATTTCCTTTGTTGTGAAGGAAATGTGTACAGCCTCAGAAGAAGTGTCTTAATCTTTCCCAGATCAGTTTGATTAAAATCAGTCCATTTCATCCATATGTGCTTCTTAGAGGGATTAGAAGGAACAGTGATCAGATTGGTGAGGTGATTACAGTTAGCCTTCTCAGGATCTCCAGGAAGTTGGTAACTGCTCAAGAGGCAAACAGTTTTAAATCCACTCATTTTTTCTTTGTAAAAATGCAGATTAAAAATTACCCAGAGCAGGAAAGATATATAAAGAGCAGCAAGGAAGATGCCTGTTTGTGAGACCAGGTCTATCCAGACTTGATCTCTGTCCCAAGAGAAGGAAGAGAGAGTGGGATTAATTGACCTTTGAAAAAGCTCTCAAATATTCATTTGAATGTTGTGCAACGGGCTCTGGATTTTCGCACTGTCAGAAACTTTTGCCCTGTGCACTATTTGAAGCATTACATAATTGAAAAGTATGTTGTATGCTTTGGCAACCTGTTCCTTATGTGGTTGGAACGGTGGTTTTAAAGTTCACCGTATTTTTCAGGCTATTCAAGTCTTTCAGAATTTAGTCATCTTAATAGAGGAGTTCATAGGACCAGAGTCAGCTATCCTAATTTCAGGCAAAAGTGTAAAATGTTGTTGAGGGAGGAGGTAAGAAGTACGTTGAGGGGAGAAAGAGTTTTATATTGTTTTGAAAGGGGCAGAGATGATATGGGGAGTTATGAGGGATCTATTAGAAATTACATGATCTTAGCTTTCTAAGCATATCTCTAATAGAGGATGCTTCCCTGGTGGCACAGTGGTTTAGAACCCGCCTAGGAATGCAGGAGACACTGGCTTGATCCCTGGTCCGGGCGGGTTTCACATGCCACAGAGCAGCTGAGCCCGTGAGCCACAAGCACTGAGCCCATGCGCTAGAGCCCGAGGACCACAAGTGCTGAAGCCCACACGCCCTGGAGGAAGCCCAGACGCAGCAGCGAAGGCCTGCCCAGTGCAACTGTAAATAACTAATTACATAAATAAAAGCCCATCTCATCTGGGCCACTTTGATTAAAAAAAAAAGAAGAAAGCCTGTATTTTTTGTTACATATCTGGTACCAGTTTCAGTATCTTTCCTTTTTAACTAGAGATCTGAAGAATAATGAAATTTCCTGGACCATTGAGGACATGAATGGTGCTTTCTCTGGGCTTGACAAACTGAGGCGCCTGTGAGTACCATTTGCTTCATAATTTGTGTCACTCTTTGACCCAGATATGTTGTTTTTTGTTTTTGGCCATGCTGCGTGGCTTGAGATCTTAGTTATCCAACCAGGAGAACTAAGGGGTCACAGCATTTGAAGCCCCGAGTCCAACCACTGGACCGCCAGGGTGAACATTTTATCTTAATCTAACTCAATTCCACACACAGGCTGACATCTTTAAAGAGTTGTGGAAAGAGGTGCTTAATCTGATTGCTACCTTTTGTCGTTTCCCCAGATGACTACCGCTATCAGGAAGTGTATTAGTTAGATTTTCTTCCTTGGTTATGGTGCTTTTACCCTACAGCTGGGTTATTGCAGCTGATTTTAATATCCAGATAAAAATTGTCAGTTGTCTCAAGAGCTTAGACTCTCGGGATTCCTGTTGTGTAAAGGTTAGCGCACTTACTAAGTTTAACATTTGAAATGTCACAGAAATGTTTAAATGAAATGACCAGTGACCAGTGATCATTGGTGGTTTATCAGTGGATTCCAAGCAGCACAGGATAAAACATGTTTCTATTTGGCCACAAAATGGCCTTGCAGATGGCCAAGTTCTGTATTTTAAATAAGTAACTTTCAAATTGACATCCATTTAGTTCTAAACTTCTGTGAGTGATGAAGGTATCCATGGAGTAGGTGGGTAAGGAGACAGTCTCCACTGTTACCTGCTTTATTTATGAGTGTTTTGAGACATTTTACTTGGAATAGGTTTCTTCCTCTTTGAAAAAAAATCACTGCTTTACTTTACCCATCAGAGTATCTTTTGAATACCTGTTTTTGCTGGGTTCTCTGTCAAATGCTTTGCAACCATGCTGAACTGAAATCTGTGTCATGGATATGTTTTTTAAGGATGTATTGTTTAATTGAAGAAAAGGGAATATTCACAAATGGTTTAAAAAGCAGTTCTTTTCATGACAATTGCACTCCAAAATGGCTTTTTACTAACTGTTCTGTTCTAACTTTTTTTTTTTTTTAAAGAATACTCCAGGGAAACCGGATTCGATCCATTACAAAAAAAGCCTTCACTGGTTTGGATGCATTAGAACACCTGTGAGTAGCAGGAGTTTAGTTACCTTAAAGGCAGTCTGCAGTGGTTATCCCCTTATTTGTCATGAAAGATAACACAAACGAGAATGTAATTTTGTTGGTACCCTCTCATATAAAATGTGCACATCTGTCCACCCTTTGTCTGTCTATGTACCTACTTGTCTGTCTATACCTGTATGAAAGTGTAAGTGCACACATACATGTTTCTTTTGCATTTAAAGGTGTTTCTTTCCATCATTTTGGGGTTTCCTTTAGTTATGTTTCTCAAGCAGTGGCATATTTAATTTTTAAAAGAAAAAAAACTGCTATTTCTTATGTACCCACTGTACATCAAGCATTATGTCAGGCATTTATTTCTATTTCTCAATCCTCATGAGAAAACTAATAGCTATCATTATCTCAATTTTTAAGTTAAGACATGGAGGTTCTAAGAGTTCTTGCTTAAATTGAACAGTTAAGAGGGTGACTTGCAAGATCAATAAAGACAATGCCCCCCACCCCAACCCCAGTTCCTGAGAGTGACTGGAGAGTTGTAACACTACTCTGAGAACTTTGGTTTGTTGTTGCTGTTGTTTAATTATAAAAAGCATGCAGCCTGTTTTTCCTCCTTCTATTCTTTCTCATCTCTTTTGCTACTGACCTCTAAGTTAGCCGCTGGCAGGAGCAGAGCTCAAACCAGGGCAGCCTCTCCCATCACAGCAGCTGTCTCCTTCACAACGTCTGCCTGCCCGGGAGCTGGAGGCACACACTTCTGAAATGACAGTTAGGGACTCAGATGTTTTCAGGCATGAAGAGCGGAAGCTCGCCAGCCTCAGTGGGAGTCAGCACCCACAGGACCACAGCCAACCAGCTTCTGATAACCGTGGGTGGATGCCTATATCGATATGTACAGTGGGAGTCTGAGGCCGTGTGCAGCGTGTCCAGCCTGACTTAATGTTTATAGCCGAGGGTTTTATTATCTGTTAACCTGGGTGGTAGAAGTTGTCATTTAAAGGACACAGTTGGTTTGTGCCGTCACTGGCACTGTGCGCATAGTTATTATCTGGGCACCACTTTCTTGTCATCTTCCCACGGAGCCCCGGGCTGCAGAAAGCTCTGGACGGCCAGCCACGGCAGCCGTGCCGCGGTCCGGGTTACAGTGGGGCGACGGCAGAGCAGAGTTTGGAAGGGCAGCCAGTGTTGCTGAGCTTCCTGGAGCAAGGTACTTTCAAAGGGAAACTGGCCAAAAGGGTTTGTCATCTGACCCTTCTGCTTTGGGGAAAGTGAAATTAGTGGATCCCTGGAGCAATAACTTCTCCTTTAGTTTCCTAAACCTTCATAACTCTCCCAGCGTCCTTCTTTGCCCACATTTGGGACCTGGGTTCTGTCTTCTCTTGCCCCTCATCTCATTCGGAATCGCCTTTGTCCACTCGGAATCCTCTAAAGGAAAACAGAGTAGGTCAGGTGGGGAGGACTTTAATTCGGCCTGCTTGTCAACACCAGTAAAAAAAAATCAGCCCAGAATATTCTCGAATTTTATGAACATCCTGCCTGAAGTGGTTGTTTGTTGGTTGGTGTGTTTTAGTAAGTACCTCTTGTCTGAACACCTGCCTGTCTCCCCATTAGTAAGTTGTATGTGTCGGAGAGGCTAGTGACTAAGAACAGCGGTTTTGAAACTGAAAATAATTGAGTTCAAATCTTATCTGCCCCTTTCATGCCGAGCCAAGCTGGTTATACTATCTTGTTTTCTGTGTTGCTGTGAGGAATAACATGTAATAATGTGTAAACCAAAATCACTTAACGTGATTGCATGTCATAGAAAATATTCTATACGTGATGGTTTTTGAAAAGCATAATTATGAGGAATTTTATATGTGTATTTAAGTTACTAAAGTTTACTAATTTGAATAGTGAGAAATACAAGAAAATAACACGGCAGAACGGCTTAGGCCCTTGAGAGTCAAAAAAATCTGTATGTGGTGATATAAAATCCCTCTCACCATAATAGAATCTGCCTCTGAATCAGAGATCCTTGTTCTTGAACACAAGCCTCCTGATGAGTTCTCTGATCACCTGTCGGTGCATTTCCGCACATAGAGTATTTTGGGGGTGAGTTGGGGGTGGCGTCATGGGCCCAACCTGTGCCTGAAGACACACAGTGACCGTAATTTCCTCTAATGTGTTTGATTTGGTGGCTTTTTCAGAGACCTGAGTGACAACGCAATCATGTCATTACAAGGCAATGCTTTTTCACAAATGAAGAAGCTTCAACAACTGTAAGCATTTCTTTTCTTTCCAAGAGTTTCACGTAAAGCATTGAGGGGCCACCTGTCAAGGGATGGGGCATCCTGGATTATGCATCTGTAGAAAGTATGTGGCACGTTCATCACGTTACTTAACTTTTATTACCAGAAGGCAGGAGGAGTGGGGTTTTGTTCCATTTGTTGCAACGAGGAGTTTCTTTCTCTTAAATATGCGACTTAAATTTGTGAGACCCAGTATAGTGCAGTGCCTCATCATAGTAACCAGTTTTCAGGACTGAGATATTTTCACTGTTGCTATACTTCTGTCTCTCCCATCAATAAGAACACCACCACCAACAACAAAAAAATGGTGCTCGTTCCCTGTCTTGCATTTTAAGATGCACTATAGAGTATTTATTCCATGGGATGTGTGTATTTGGTTTCTCCATTCAATGCTTTGTTAATATTTACTTGAGTTTAGTTTACTTGTAGAAATCTGCATTTCATACAAAACAGATTGAATGGAATTACTCTCCTCAGGCACTTAAATACATCAAGCCTTTTGTGCGATTGCCAGCTGAAATGGCTCCCTCAGTGGGTGGCGGAAAACCACTTTCAGAGCTTCGTAAACGCCAGCTGTGCCCACCCTCAGCTGTTGAAGGGAAGAAGTATTTTTGCTGTTAGTCCAGATGGCTTTGTGTGTGGTGAGTGGAACTGTGGTCTTTTTGCCTTTTATTCATTTTTCTTTTTTTTTCTCCCATTTGTCCAAAGAATGGATTTGCATAAATGTATATACCCTAAATGAAGCTCTTATTTCTGCTGAGGTAGATGAGAATGGATCTGTAGTTTGCTGATGATTGCAGTTTTTCCTGTTGAAAACATTTTTTTTTTCTGTAATTTCTTCCTCTTTGTGTTGGCATCAGGGTGGTCTGGTGGAAAGAGAGTGATGTTGTCTTGAGAGAATCGGAGGATAGTAGCAGCCCTGCTCCTTAATTGCAAGTCCCTAAATCTCAGTCTTCTAATCTGTGAAATGGGAATACTGCTGTCTGCCCTCCCCAGATCCAGGGGTTGTTGAGAGGTTCTCTTGAGTTCAGTGAACAGACTGACTTGAATCTTGTGCAGATGCTGTTTACAAGGAATAGAAAGAGATAATTATTAGCTCATGATTTATAGACTACTAAAAATTTTATTGTCGTCATTCAGTCACTAAGTCGAGTCCAACTCTTTGCAACCCCATGGACTGCAGTATATCAAGCTCCTCTGTCCTCACTTGTCTCCCAAAGATTGCTCAGATTCGTGTCCATTGAGCCAGTGTTGCTATCTAAAATTTTACTGTTGGTGAGTAAAACATTACAAGTAACAGAAAGTTTGAGTTTATTGTGAATATATTTAAGGTCCATTGTTTTTTCATCTAAGCCTCTCAAGCATAGAAGTCTGCTTACCCAACTTCAGAGAGCTCGTTAGCAGATCTGGCTTAGACACCCAGGTTTCCATCTCTCTGGTGCAGCCTCCTGTTTACTGCATTCAGTTCATTTCAGCTGCTCAATCGTGTCTGACTCTTTGCGACCCCATGGACTGCAGCATGCCAGGTTTCCCTGTCCATCACCAACTCCCAGAGCTTGCTCAAGCTCATGTCCATCGAGTCGGTGATGCCATCCAACCATCTCATCCTCTGTCATCCCCTTTTCCTCCTCTCTTCAGTCTTTCCCAGCATCAGGGTCTCTTCCAGTGAGTCAGTTCTTCACATCAGGTGGCCAAAGTATTGGAGTTTCAGCTTCAGCATCAGTCCTTCTAGTGAATATTCAGGACTGATTTCCTTTAGGATGGACTGATTGGATCTCCTTGTAGTCCAAGGGACCCTCAAGAGTCTTCTCCAACTCCACAATTTAAAAGCATCAATTCTTCAGCACTCTTGTTTCTTTATAGTCCGACTTTCACATGCATACGTGACTACTGGAAAAACCATAGCTTTGACTAGATGGACCTTTGTTGGTAAAGTAATATCTCTGCTTTTTAATATGCTGTCTAGGTTGGTCATAACTTTTCTTCTAAGGAGCAAGCATCTTTTAATTGTATGTCTGCAGTCACCATATCAGTCATTTTGGAGCCCAAAAAAATAGTCTGTCACTCTTTCTATTGTTTCCCCATCTATTTCCCATGAAATGATGGGACTGGATGCCATAATCTTAGTTTTCTGAATGTTGAGTTTTAAGCCAGCCTTTTCACTCCCCTCTTTCACCTTCATCAAGAGGCTCTTTAGTTCTTCTTCGCTTTCTGCCATAAGGGTGGTGTCATCTGCATATCTGAGGTTATTGATATTTTTCCCGGCAAGTCTACTGCATTACTCTGCTGTTTACTATCTGATGTTGTGGAGAGACCTTTGTAAAACTAAATTTGCATATAGAACATGAAATGAAAATTCACTTCAATTTTAGTATGTGTGTTAAGATATTACTAAGCCCAATTCTACGTTTGCCTTTAAATTTTATTTAAAACTGCTTTGCCTACAATTGTTTAGTCAAGTACAAGAAAAACGTATTTTTATTTTACATTGCTGCATTAAGTGGTGCCAACAGTTTCTGCAAATAAAATATCTTTGTAGCTTTTGGATCTAAGTGAGCATTTGGCATTCATTTGTAAGGGCCTGAGCTATTCCTTTTCCATGGTCTTTATTTCTCAGTTCTCTATTACTTTGAGAAATAAATATGTGTAGATGTAGGTGTGTGTTTGTGTATGTGTCACATCCATGGATTTTTCACTCCCTCCATTGTGAATCTGAACCTTGATTTACCAGATGAGAATTTTAGAATAGTCCTACAGAAAAGGAAACCATCCTGGTTACAACATGCAGGCATGGCATTGGAAATTAGCTGCATTGGAGTTGTCAAAGGGTCCTCCATGCCCTGTTCATACACACACACACACACACACACACACGCATTATTTTTTCAGTGCACCCAAATAATACATTTTGGTTGATTTAAGATGCTTCCTTCTGGGTACAGACCATCTCTGAGAAACTGAAGTTCAGAAAGGTAACTTTTCCAAAAAGCAACAGAACTAAATATAACTGTTTGGAATGACAGAGCTGCTTATCTGTAATTATACCGTAGCTCTGACAGCACAGCGCAGCGGCCTGATGGACTGTCCACCCTAAACTCCAGGGGCCCACAGAAAGCTTGAGGGATGCTTTGTCTTTCACTGAAAGATTGTTTTCTCCTGCTCTACCTAAAAATGACTCCTCTTTGGGTTTCCTGGTGGCTCAGATGGTAAAGAATTTGCCAGCAATGCAGGAGACCCAGGTTCAATCCCTGGGTTGGAAGGATCCCCTGGAGAAAGGACTGCTGCCCACCTCAGTATTCTTTCCTGGAGAATTCCATCCTGGAGAATTCCATGAACAGAGGAGCCTGGTGGGCTGCAGTCCATGGGGTCTCAAAGAGCTGGACACTACTGAGTGACTAACAATAAGAGTTCTAGTTTCGGTGAATGGAATCTTTATTGCTGTCTTTAGTGATACTGATTATCATTATTGACATTAGATTTCTTGTTTTTCTGCTTCTTATTTATGGAGAACATGGGGGGAAATGCAGTTCCAGATAGTAGCATTTAAAGGTGATCCATGAGCCTGAATGTGTCTTAACTAATTTCTTCTCGTATTTCTGCAAGGAAAAAAAAAAAGCACAGGAGGTCTGGAGTAAACTGTATTCCAAAATATCAGTCTCCTCAGTTAGTGATGTGTAAATAGGTCTCAGTCTCTATTTGGAATGAATGAGTGACTTTATACACTCTCTCCCCGTCTATTGTTTCAACACTGGGCCTGCTAGTCCATCTGTGAAGCATACACAAAGTGTAAAACCTAAGCCGCTGTTTGTTTTGAGTTTCTTGGTGTTCCAATCTGAGTAGCATTTGGACTCTCAAGCTTTAAAGCTGTTTTGTTTCCTCCTCTCCATTTTGAACAGATGATTTTCCTAAACCCCAGATCACGGTTCAGCCAGAAACGCAGTCGGCAATAAAAGGTTCCAATTTGAGTTTTATCTGCTCGGCTGCCAGCAGCAGCGATTCCCCAATGACTTTCGCTTGGAAAAAAGACAATGAACTACTGCACGATGCTGAAATGGAAAATTATGCACATCTCCGGGCCCAGGGTGGCGAGGTGATGGAGTACACCACCATTCTTCGGCTCCGTAACGTGGAATTTACCAGTGAAGGGAAATACCAATGTGTCATCTCCAATCACTTCGGTTCATCCTACTCTGTCAAAGCCAAGCTCACAGTAAATAGTATGTGATCTGACTTTTCCTCTTGCATCTAAAGATACGTTTTTATGAAACAGAAAGTACCTGCTTTCTTCTCTTATTACCGACCCTGTCCTCTGCTCTCAGAGTTCTCCACCTAAACCCTGCCTTTCCCTACCTCTCAGTCCACATTATTGATATTCTTGGCTGTGTGTACCTAAGCTCGCTGTTACTGTATTGAAGACCCCACGCTTAGCATGGTGGGTAACCCAGATAAACCAGACACCTTTTGTTCTTTGAGAGTTCATGGTGTGGTTCGTCTGATGAGGAAGACTGTGAAGAACAGAGTTAAAGGATATCACCTTTTTTAAAAAAATTCAGATATAGTTGATTTATAGTGTTGTGTTAGTTTCAGGTATGCAGTAAAGTGATTTCAGTTATAGGTGTATTTTTTCAAATTATTTCCCATTATAGGTTATTACATGATATTGAATATAGTTCCCTGTGTTTTATGGGAAATCCTAGATGCTTGTCTGCTTTCTGCCATTGGTATCTATTAATCCCAGTTTCCTAGTTTATCTCTCGGCCCCTTTCCCCTTTGGTAGCCATAAGTGTGTTTTCTGTGTTTGTGAGTCTGTTTGTTTTATATACATAGATTAATTTGTATTATTTGTTTAGGTTCCAGATACATGTGATATAGTCTTTGTCTGTCTGACTTACTCCACGAGTGTGAGAATCTCTAGGTCCCCACCAGTGTTGCTGCAAATGACATCATCTCATTCTTGTTTATGACTCATATTCCATTGTATGTATTTACCACATCTTAAATCGTCTGCTGAAGGGTACTTGGCTTGTTTCTCTGTCTTTATTATTGTAAATAGTGCTGCTGTGAACACTGGAGTACCTGTATCTTTTAGAATTCGAATTTTCGTCTTTTCTAGGCATGTGCCTGGGAGTGGAATTTCTGGGTCATAAGGTCACTGTTTTTTTAGTTTTTTCAGAACCCTCCATACTGTTTCCTGTAGTGGCTGCACCGGTTTACATTCCCATCAACAGAAAGCCCACCACCTCTAGCTTAGAGATCTCAGTTTGAATCCTGCCTCTCCTACTATCAGCTGTGGGACTCTCAACAAGTTACTTAACCTCTGTCTATCTTCACTTGTACATCTTTCAAACAGGAATAGTAATGCCTACCTTACAGAGGTATGCTTGTGAGATAAAACAGTTTGTGTGAAGGACTCGGCAGGATGCTTGGACTACAGTAAGTGCTCAGTAGATGAATAGGCATTAGCTGCTGCCGATGCAGGGGTCTCATCCTGCGTTTGTGTGGCAAGTGGACAGTTTTGCAGTTTATCATTTCATTGTTTTTATTGTCCATGGTAGAAGGTATGGCTCATTAATGTGTTCATTCCACAAATAACTGCTGAGGCCTGAACAGAAAATTGTAGGCCAAAACGCGTGTGTAAAGTCATAGAATGTTAGACCCAGGAGGAACTTTAAAAAAAAAAACATAAAAGATGGAGTGGCCAGGGTCCAAACAGATCACTGATTTGCCTAAGGTCTCACAGATAGTTATTAAGGAAACGAAAAAGTGACTGGGGAATGGCAGCAAGACCATCAGTGTGAAGCTCAGGTGACCTGTTTCCTCCTGACTAGGTCATTTCTGTACCTGTGTAACCTTGAGGAGCTTCTCAATCACTCCATGTCTTGCAGTTGGAAACAACCCCGCCTTACTATGTCAGGGAAATTTTAAGTATCCAAAAAAGCGGGGGCGGCAGGGGGAATGAAAATGAGCCTCCTAACTCCAGAACGCTAATGCCCCCGTGTCGTATTTCTTATTTCAGTGCTTCCTTCGTTCACCAAGACCCCCATGGACCTCACCATCCGTGCCGGGGCCATGGCGCGCTTGGAGTGCGCTGCACTGGGACACCCAGCGCCTCAGATAGCCTGGCAGAAGGATGGGGGCACGGACTTCCCGGCCGCGAGGGAGAGACGCATGCACGTGATGCCTGAGGATGATGTGTTCTTCATTGTGGACGTGAAGATAGAGGACATCGGGGTGTACAGCTGCACCGCTCAAAACAGTGCCGGCAGTATTTCTGCAAATGCAACTCTGACTGTCCTCGGTGAGTGGATGCTTTCAGATTCTGTGACACTTGTTAGTCTTTAGGATGCCAGCTCACCCAAAGGCCCTAAGAAGTGTCAGAACTCGGGAGGGTGAGGGCCGATCTGTAGGACAGTGCCCTTTCCTGGAGGCGACAGTGGCCTCTCAGAAGCTTTCAGGTCAGGGAATACATCACACCTTCAGACCTGTGGGCAGTGAGATGAATCTGCCCCCTCCCTTCTGAGCAGGGGGAAGAGTAATGCTTTGATGCTGTCCCTTTTTGCTGGAATTACCTTTCTCTGCTCTTTGCATTATACAATCTGTACTTAAAGTCTTAACAGTATAAAGAATATAACAAAAATAAGTATCTGAATAAATTCAGAGAGACCTCTTTTTCTCAGCCTCCCATGCCACTCTGGAAATGAGTGCATCCTTTATCATTTACTTTGTTGTGATTCAGCCACTCAGTTGTGCACCCCCTCACTCTTTGCAACCCCATGGACTGCAGCACGTCAGGCTTCCCTGTCCTTCCCATCTCCCAGAGTTTGCTCAAACTCCTATGCATTGATTTGACAGTGCCGTCCAACCAGCTCATCTTCTGTCTTCCCCATCTCCTCATGCGCTCAATCTTTCCCAGCATCAGGATCATTTACCTAAACAGATGCCTTTTAAAAATGTGAGCATGTTAATCATATATGTGTATCTTTGAAAGAGTAAATCAGGGTAACCTTATGAACACCAAATAATAAAAGTACATTATTTTCAGAATTTTAATTCAAGTGGGGACATCTAGCGCTAGGAAGTTTCCCTTTAAAAATTTAAACATTCTGATTTTTTTCATCCATCAACACACCCTTGTGCTTAATGTTATTTTTATGCATTTTCTGTTTCTAAAATATGTCTAAAATGTTTTGCTTTGCCCGACTTCCATCATCCCCAGCCTTGCCAAGAATGAGGGAAACTAAGTGAAAGAAACTGTAAATATTATCCTTAAACTGGTGTTAAAAGGAGATGACAGGCAGATGATGAAATGAAAGCCCAGGTGTCATATCCATGTTCAGGGTTTTAAAGAGGCGTGGGCGTGAAGCTGTGGGAGAATCCAGCGTCAGCTCCCATTTGAATAAATTGAAGCAGGAGGTCTTAGGCTGTGTGAACCCTAACTTCACGTCAGAGATTAAAAGCATAACTTGTCATTTCAGAGACACCGTCGTTCTTGCGGCCCCTCTTAGATCGAACTGTGACCAAGGGGGAAACGGCCGTCCTGCAGTGCATTGCGGGCGGGAGCCCTCCGCCCAGACTGAACTGGACCAAGGATGACAGCCCCTTGGTGGTCACCGAAAGGCACTTTTTTGCAGCCGGCAACCAGCTACTAATCATCGTGGACTCGGACATCAGCGATGCCGGGAAGTACACGTGCGAAATGTCCAACACCCTGGGCACCGAGAGAGGCCACGTGCGCCTCAGCGTGATCCCCACGCCCACCTGCGACTCCCCTCAGCTGACGGCCTCGGCACTGGACGACGATGGCTGGGCCACCGTGGGCATTGTGATCATCGCCGTGGTTTGCTGCGTGGTGGGCACCTCTCTCGTGTGGGTGGTCATCATCTACCACACACGGCGGCGGAACGAAGACTGCAGCATCACCAACACAGGTGTGTCCGCGGAAGCCTGGCACGGCGCGCCGGAGACGCGTGTGCGCAGGAGTCGTGTGTGCGTGCGGGGGAGTCGTGAGTGCGCGCAGGAGTCGTGTGCGCGCGCGCGGGAGTCGTGTGCGCGCGCGCGGGAGTCGTGAGTGCGCGCAGGAGTCGTGTGTGTGCAGGAGTTGTGTGTTTGCGGGTCCGCCGAGATTCACTTCCGAGTGTGTCTGTTGCAATCTGAGACCACGTCATGAGGGTGATTCATTGGTTTCAAGCTGGGCAACTATGGTTAGCTAAACACAGCACCCTGGCCCGGAATGAAGCTGATGGGTAAAGATGAGTGCTTTTTGTCAGAGCCGCCTCAGAACGGCACGTGGGCTGTGACAGACCATGCAGAGCTTAGGGCAGCGCGCACCCTCAGATGGTGGTGGAGGGCCGGAAGCAGTCTGCAGTCATGAGGCGTCTGCTCAGCCATCGTCTTGTCCGTTGCGAGCATGTATGCATGTGGTGTATGCAGGCATCACACGGTGTATCTAGGAGAAAGGGGCTTTGGTTGTATAGGCAAACTCCTGTATCAGTGAGTAATACAAGGTCAGGAATATGGCAGAAATCAAGCTTAGATAGTATCTAAAATACTGTCTCATGAAAATTATCTTTATCTTTGTAAGCATGTGTTGTCTTTGAGAGTTGGGAGGAGTGAGACTTCCCCCGTAGCCCAGAGGTTAAGAATCCATCTTCCAGTGCAGGGGACGCAGTTCGATCCCTGGTCGGGGAGCTGAGATGCCCGCGTGGCGTAGGGCCGCTAAGCCCGTGTGCCACAACTAGGGAAGCTTGGGCAACGGGTGAAGAGCCTGTGCACTCCAGTGCAGACAAAAAAACATGAAAATAGAGGTAAAGAAATATGAGAGGAGAATCCCACAGGCCGCAAAGCAGAGCATCCGCTGAGGTGCCCCAGAGCAGCAGGGCCCTGGTATGCAGTCCATCAGGATGGTTTTGCAAGGGTATATTGATTTGATTTAAACAGAAGACAAAACAAAAGGATATCTACCATTCATCAGGGAAGTCTGCTGTGTGGCAATTGTGACCGTTCTTGGTTCATAGAACACTGTTGTTGATTACAGATGAGACCAACTTGCCAGCTGATATCCCGAGTTATTTGTCATCTCAGGGAACACTAGCGGACAGACAGGACGGGTACGTCTCCTCAGAAAATGGAAGCCACCACCAGTTCGTCACTTCTTCTGGAGGCGGATTTTTCTTACCACAGCACGATAGTAATGGTACGTGTTTAAAACGAACATGGGCTATTCACATTTTGAAATAACCCTTTGGAAAGTTCAAATAGAATGTTAATTTCCACAGGGTATTGAGACACTCATATATTTAGGACCTGGCCCAAAATCACTAGCAAAGCTGATATTAAATAGTTCTAAGTCTTTCTCTTAAATACTAGAAAAATCTTTGTTTCTAGCACTAAAAGAAGACAAGTAGTTTAGGTAAAGTTTAATTCCTCCATGCGATGTAGTATTTCCTTTATGTCATGAATGTTCTTTGGCCCGGAATGTTCTTCTTACTTCAGTGACACTAACTGGTTTCATACATGGTCTCAAAAGTCAAATGATTTAAAATCATTCTGTTAGAGACTTACAATTCTGACTCTCACTTTAAGAGCTGTATAAAGAATTATAATGGAGGCTGCATAATAAAAGAGCATCAGCTTGGTTCAAGACCCACTTCTGACACTTACTCCCTGTGTATCCTTGGGCAGTTATGATTCTTCCCTATTAGGTTGTTGTGAACATTAGATAAAATGATAGTATATGGTGCTTGGCACATATTAAGTGCTTAGTAAGTAGAAGCTATTGACCTTTTACCAGCTTTTCTCACGAGTGTTGATTGAGTATATGCGCTGTGGTGGACTCCATAGTTTGGAGGGAAGAATGTTTCCAATTTTACAGTTTAGTCAGCAGTGAGACAGAAAATTCAACAAATAATTGCCAAAAGCTTGACAAGACAGTGATAAGAGGGCGTAGAGACAGAAGAGAAGATTTGAGCCTAAAAGCAGTTGTTCTGATTAGACTCATTTGCTTGCAAAGAGCAGAAGCCCAAGCTCACTTGGATAGAGCCAGGTTTACTGAAAAGGCATTTTAAAAAGTAAGGGGACAGAACTGGAGCGTAATAGTGGCATGTCTGCCGGGTGCTGGGGCTGGAGATCAGGCCGCTCTCAGAATAGCCCCGGAGGTAGCCAGTGGTATTGAACCGCATTCTACACATTTGCTTCTCGCTGAGACCACCCCCCAACAAGGACTGCCCAGTTCCCGCTGCCTAGGTACCCGGTCCATTGTGGCATCTCTAACCCTCATGATGTCTCTTGTCCTTCAGCTGCTGTGTCCCCTGCTAACCAGAATATCAGTTCTGGATTGCTTAGCGCAGGATAACTCATGATAGGTTTCCGCTTGTTTGTTTTCTCTTTTTGGTCGACTTCATCTTTGAGCCGGGCATTAAGAAGTCATTGGTTAGGTGCCAGTGCCTCACCCTGGCCATCGGTGAGTTTCTGGAGGAAGCAGGCCACGCTGGTAGCATCATGTGGTTCAAACCATCGCTGCTTCAGCCACAGTGTCCATGCACAGATCGGTTTCTCTTGGAAACCAGGGGGTGGGGTCAGCAGTGAGGTTAACACATCCAGCTCAATGGTTCATTAAGTTCTCTTTTAGCAAGATATCATAAACTTACTTAATCACTAATCTATAGGCATCATTAAATTTTGAAAAAACCCTTCTGTAAATTTCTGCAGTATTTCCTGTGTATAATATTCTGTCTGAACTTTTCATCTATAAATATGGAAACTGTCAAAAGTGAAGAGACGGCTGAATGGTAATTGAACTTACGGTTCAGTGATTAAGACATGTGTTTTAAAGGGACATGCCACGTTGACAACAGCAGTGAAGCCGATGTGGAAGCTGCCATAGACCCGTTCCTTTGTCCCTTTTTGGGGCCCTCAGGCCCTGTGTATTTGAAGGGGAGCATGTATGGCTCAGATCCTTTTGAAGCCTATCATACAGGTATGTGGTTTTCATTTCTGAGTTCTGTTTCCTGGAGAGACCTCTCGAAGCATTAACTCTGTCTCCCGATATTGTCCCCAAATTTGAAAGGCTGTGGTCCTGACCTGAGATCAGCTTTAATGGAGCGCTACGAGCCCAGTTACATAAAGAAGGAGTGCTACCCATGCCCTCAGCCTTCAGAGGAATCCTGTGAGCCAGGCATCAGTGATACAGGATGGCCTTCTCACGCGAAGAAGTCACTCACCCCTTCCTCTTCTCAGCACGAAGGGCCCAGAATGAACAACTTATGTCTGAACAAGTCTTCTGCAGATTTTAGTCCAAGTCCAGAGCCACCGTCGGTTACTTTGAGTAATTCTTTCATGGGTAAGTTTATTACATTATTAGGTACCTTGACTCCAGACCCACATTGCGAGTTGCCTGGGGGAGAGCCATGAGAGTTTTGAATGCCAGACTGGTGAAGAATAGTTTCTGGTGTGTATGTGTCTTTTCTAATGGTGCTGTCGTGACATCCTATTAATTAGTACCCTTGTTTCTAACAGCAGAGGCAGACATGGGGATTTTACTTGGTTAGGTATTTGATCCAACTCTAAGCCTTAGGAACTTTCTGGGCAACTCTGTGTGTGGCATCGTCTTGAAGACAAGAGTTTTGGAAGTGACTGAGGAGCGCAGCTTGTCAGTCATGTGGAAAACGTGGTTTTGGGCTATAGCAGCCTCTGTGTGCACGGCATGACTGCGGCTTGGGATGTCTGCTGGCTTATAACTAAACCCACAGTCAGAGTGCAGACGGCGTCCTACCTGGCAACAGCCGCTCGTCAGCCAGGCTGGGCTGCCCCCACAGAGGCTGTTGGAATCCTAAAGCCCCCGGGGGTGGCCGTGGACACTGGCTGACACCGAGATTCATTTCTGAAGTTTTTGCTCTAGTGCGTGGGGACGATGGAGTGGAAGAACTGAGATCATCTTTTTGCTGCATGGAAATATGGAAAAATGAACCACAACTTGTCTTCTTAAAAAAAAAATAGAATTTTTAAGTATTTTACCCAACTTTTAAGAAATGTCATGTTTTCTCATGGGGTAATTATTTATATCCCTTTTTTAAAAAATGAATCATAATTTTTATAGGACCTAGGAGAGAATTTGAGTCAATAGAACTATTATTTGCTACTGAGAAAGAGAGGGCAAGACGTACGGATTATTTTGAGAGAAGCTTTCTACACTGGGCACAGTTTACTTGCACATGACTATCCAAATGCGCTTTGTGGAGAATGGTGGGCTTCTCGTGAACACAGGATTTGGGAGAACTTCTGTCGGGGAACTTGCTGCTGATATTACTGCTGCAGGTCCTGAAGGTGGAGAAGGGCTGCCTGTACTCAGTGGATGTCTGTGTCAGAGGTGCACGCGCCTTCAGCCCCACTCTGTAAGGCCTCTGCATAGCACAAGTATCTGGCCATCCACCTGAATCCCATAACATGGACTTGAAAGTTCCCCCCATATTTATGGGGCAAGGGGCCCCTTCATTTGCAATGCATTCTGCTGCTTGCTCCAAAAGGCCCCATGTGCTCAAGGGGTTTCTTTTTTTCAGGAACCTTTGGAAAGCCTCTGAGGAGACCTCAGCTGGATGCCTTTTCGAGCTCTGGGCTGTCATCGGATTGTCAGCCAAGAGCCTTTCACTTGAAAGCGCGTTCTTCCCCCAACTTGGAGTGTGAGTCAGAGGAAGATGGGAAAGAAAGGACAGATTTGCAGCGAGAAAATCACACATGTACCTATAAACAGACCTTAGGAAGCCACAGGACTTCAAATTTTCAGTCCTACGACCTGGACACATAAAGTAACGAGACCAAGGACTGGTCCTAACACACTACCTCAAGTGGATGTTTATTTAAGAGACAGAAGCCTATGTTTTTAAATGGAACTATGAATTCTAAAAGGATAAAATGTCTTATTTATACAGATAGACAAAAACTACAAAAAGGCATAAAAATTTTATACTGGGAGTAACTTTCATATAGGAATACCTTTACTGTTTTATAACTTTGCTTTATGCAGAAAATATCTTATGTAAATTAATGGTATAAATCCATGACTATTTTATGTATTTTTGTAATGCCAGATTCCTTTTTATCAGAAATGAGTACTAAAGCATTTTAAACAATAACTGTCTTGTATGTTTTTTGAATAGAGGTCACTTCATTTTATTTTGCACGTTCTTAATAAAATGTCTCATTTGATCCCAAACCCCATCTATCCAATAACAATCTTCATTGTTTTCAGCACATTTTAGGCATAATTAGTTCATATTATCATGTCTCACATTGGTGGAAATTACATTTAGCACATTAAAATATGAGCAAATGATCATTCTGCATACCTCCCAGGTCTGTTGTAATATAGACTCAAATCAAATTAGTGTATGTGAGAGCCCATTGTAAAATGAGACGGAGCTACGAAGATTTGAGGAACATTTTCATTTATTTCTTAACTCTACAAACAAAAGGATGCGTTGTTGCAGTCCAGTGTTAAATAGTACAACCACCGTTGCTTAAGTCACTGCTCAAGCCATTTCCTTAATTATCGTAATGCTTTATGTGGTCTAATGCTTTGTGCGTTTCCAGATAGTTTCACATACCCCACCCCTTTAATTATAACAAGACAGTGGTTTATTGCCCATTTCTATAGTTAAAAGGTCTGTATGAGATGTGGGCTTTCATTGTCTGTTCTAGGTTGTAATGGGATGCTGGTGGAATTCTTTCCTGTTCTTATTGATTTTCTGCTGGACAAGCAGTTCTTACAGAAAAGGCACTCTTCAGCTATTCGGCCACACTGTTTAAGAATTAAAGTGCTTTTCTAATTTGGTCATCATGGCTCTACTTGTTAAAAACTCAGTGTAGAGTCTGTTACTTAAACGTATACAATTACTTTAAATACTTGTTTTAAGCAGTGTTGAGGTGAAAATGTTGTTATGTGACTGGCATATATACACACACATACAGAAAATTACACATTTCCAAAATTAAATAATGTAGTTTGAAGGAATTGAAACAAGCATTAAGTTTAATAATTTAGATGATCAAACTGTTTTTCCCCTTAGTAAATCTTAAGATCAGCATTGAAGAAATTAATATAGTACATTAAACTTTAAAGTCTACTAACCTGTTGAAGGTGTGACTTTGTCATTGTCAGTTCTTTGAACTAAGTTTAAAAACACATATTAGAAAAGCAGATTCATCTCACAGGATATGTTGGGGGTGACGTTTTCCTCTTTAGTGAGTTTTGCATTTTGTTGTTTGTGAGCCGGAAGCCTGGAACCCAGACTGCAATAACATCTTCCCTCCTTTAATTTAGACACCAGAGTCCGAGACAGGAACTTGATCCTTCCTGGGACAGCCAGTGACTGAGAGCAGAAAAGTGATTTTGTACGCTTCGGCTTTATCATACGGCCAAATTTTCAACATCTTGTTCATTTGTCTTCATTATTACCAGACGTGATCCGATCATCAGTAAGGGGTCTCCTCAAGGGTTATGAACTTCTTTTAAAGGATTTAATTTTTCCAGACTTAAATGCAAAGGTTAAATCATTCACACTTGAAATTCAACAATTAGATTCACTCTCCATTAACATGTTTTTTTTTTTTTACTCTTCTTGAATGCTGCTAACTTACGGATTACATATAATCTTAGAGGTCTGGAGAAGCAGCAGGAGCTTAATTTCTCTTTGACACTTGCAAAAATATATATATATATATATAATTTTGAGACTCCAGATTGAGTTAACAAAGTGAATCTAGTAGGTGTTAAGATATCCTAAGAAAACACAGACTTCATTAGAGATGTATATAAATATCAAATCACTTGGCTTATTTATGAAAGAGAATGCTTAGATTTTTCAGTTTAATCTTTCCTTGCTTTCTGATATAAGACTAATTCTTTTATAACACATCTTTATGGATACTCTCACAACTTTAGTATATTTTTCCTCAATTCCACTGTTGACACAAAATGAAAGGACAGTTACTGGGTATAATCTTACCTGTGTTTTTTAAAATATTGAGGGATAAATATTCCTTAATTGTGGTAGGCAACATTTTATAAATACTAAATTCCCGTGGAGCATCACCGTCTATTGTCACAGTGTTCCTACAGAAAGAAACCAAAAGTTACTTCTCAGAATAAAGCCAGTGGTAAGTACCCTTTGAAAACTTGATAGAAAAAAAGAGTGATTTGGTATTTGTACACACTTGAGGAGTTCTAGTCCTTTTGATTTAATGTGATAGGAAGTACTTTATAACCATTAAAATACAACAATAGATGAACTGGCCTGGTATTTTTCAAAAAGAATGAGAACCAAATGTCATTGCAAAATGCCTGCTCTGTCTTCTCCTCTTGGAATGTGCAGTGGATGAAGCACCCCAGGCTTTCCTGTCCTACAGTATCTCCCACAGTCTGCTCAAATTAATGTCCGTTGAGTCGGTGATGCTATCTAAACATCATCCTCTGCCTCCCCCTTCTCTTTTGCCTTCAATCTTTCCCAGCATCAGGGTCTTTTCCAGTGAGACATCTCTTCACATAAGGTGGTCAAATTATTGGAGCTTGAGCTTCAGCATCAGTCCTTCCAATGGATATCCAGGGTTGATTTCCTTTAGGTTGGACTGGTTTGATCTTGCAGTGCAAGGGACTCAGAAGAGTCCTCCAGCACCACAATTAAGCATCAGTTCTTCGCTCAGCCTTCTTTATGGTCCAGCTCTCACATCCATACATGACTACTGGAAAAACCACAGCAGCGGAGTGATGTCTCTGCTTTTTAATAACACTGTCTAAGTTTGTCACTAGGGTTTCCCTGGTAGCTCAGTCTGTGAAGAATTTGCCTGCAATGCAGGAGACCTGGTTTCAATCCCTGGGTTGGGAAGATTCCCTGGGAGAAGAAAGTGACAACCCACTCTAGTATTCTTGCCTGGAAAATGCTATGGAAAGAGGAGCCTGGCAGGCTACAGTCCATGGGGTTGCAAGACTTGGACTTGACTTAGTGACTAAACCACCACCAGATTTGTCTTAGCTTTCCTTCCAAGGAGCAAGCGTCTTTAAGTTTCATGGCTGCAGTCACTGTCAGCAGTGATTTGGGGAGCCCAAGAAAATAAAATCTGTCACTGCTGCCACATTTTCCCCTTCCCCTTGCCATGAAGTGATGGAACCAGATGCCATGATCTTAGTTTTTTGAATGTTTTAAGTTTTTTGAAATGTAAGTGTGTGTAGTTGCTCAGTCATGTCCAATTCTTTGTGGCTCTGTGGACTGTGGCCCACCAGGCTTCTCTGTCCTTGGGATTCTCCAGGCAAGAATACTGGAGTGCATTGCCATTTCCTTCTCTAGGGGATCTTCCCGACACAGGGATCAAACCTAGGTCTCCTGCATCACAGGCAGATGCTTTACCCTCCTAGCCACCAGGGAAGCCTCAAATACATTCTTAGTATTGCAAAAATTGCAAATTCTATTTCCCATTTCTGTTCTGTTTAGTATCAAGGATCTGAATTCTATATTCTGAATTTCATATCTTTCCATAAAATGATGGATACCTGTGAACAACAGAAATTATAACTAATATTCATATGTAACTTTTTCTTAGAATTATTTTTTTAATTAAAGAATTTTGAGAATATATTTTAAAGCGTAAGTCTAAGCAATTCACAAATGTACACACTTTCACTATTGAATTTCTTCTCCAGTGATTTTTCTCTTCTGTCTTTATTGGGCTTCATGGTTGATTCTGGCTTTTAAAAAATAAGTTTAACTTTTCTCTTAAAGCATGTTTGAATATAACACCTAGTGCTTTCATGAGAGTATTGTCATTGATTTGGTGGTAGTTTTATAGTATCTCTGCATATGGCTTTCCCCCTACTCATTATATCTTCTGTGTTTTTCTATAAATAATAGTACAGAGTAAAACAACATATACTAGATTTATGTATCCATATTTTCTAATGTATCATGTACAGCTCTTCTTAAAAGTGTTTTTAATTGAAGTATAATTAATTTACAACGTTGTGTTAGTTTCAGGTGTATAGCAAGTGATTTATTAATACGTATACACATTTATTTCATATTATTTTCCCATATATCCTTTTCCCATTATTATACAATATTGAGTATAGTTCCCTATGCTATATCATAGTTCCTTGTTGGTTATCTATAGTAGTGTGTATATGTTAATTCCAAATTCCTAATTCATCCCTCCTCATCTCTGCATATAGCTTTATTTTGACCTATCTACAACTCAAAGAGTTGAAATTTGGTAACAATGCAGTATTAACTGTCAAACTTTTTTTTAACATATTTAGCAGTACATTTTGCATAGGTGATGTAAAATTGTAAAAAATGATCCTTGTCCTAATTACCAGTGGGACAGGAAGCAGATTCATAAGTAAATTCTCACAATTCAAGGTGTTAAATGCTATTGCATGCTACGGGTTAGTAGGACACCCAGCACAGGCACTGATTGTGTTTAGTTCTAAGTGAGCTGCTTCAGCATGTTACAGGCAGTCTCCCAGCGTGTCACAGAGCAAGCGGATCACCTGGTTTTCCACCTGCGGCCCAGAACACTGGCAGATCCCATACTCTTTTTTTCTTGTTTAATCATCAGTCACCGTTCCTGCTGTTTCACACCTGAATTTTCTCAAGGCTGTTTATATCTTCCCTCCTGTCCCATCGCCACAGCCAAGTTCAGGCCCTTATCTGTCTCTTGCAGCAGCGTCCTCTTATCCCTTGCCTCTCTCTTGCCCGGTTCATTGTTTCACTGTTATCAGAAGTATTCTTCTAAAATAGGTCTGAAAGGGTCACT